CGTTGGGCACATCGGAAAGACAGGGGTGTTGCGAAAACGCAACAAGGGGCAAATTGGCAGGGCAGCGGAAGTATAGGAACATCAAATAGACTTCACTTGAGATACGTTGTGGGTTCTTTCCTTCTCTCTCCAATCTTCCTCCCTCTCTTCCACGCTCCCCCAACTCTCTCTCCTTCTCCTCTCTCTCTCTCTCTCTCTCTCTCCCTCTCTCTCTCTCTCTCTCTCTCTCTCTCTCTCTCTCTCTCTCTCTCTATCTCTTTCTCGTTTTGTAGTCGTGAGGGACGTGTAGGTATGTAAAGTGCAAGGTGCATTTGCACGTGAATGTTGCGACACGTTTCACATTAACTCACTTAAACAGTTATCAAACACTCATTTCTCTTTCTCGCAGATTATTGGGCTATTCGAGCAATGGGTTTTCGAGCATCTGAAAATCGCATGGTAGGAAAAGGACCTGCATCAAACGGTCGGCGATGCTAACGGAGCTGAGAGATAGCGAGGTACTTTGAAAATTGGATCTACTTAGTACTAAATAATGGGGACGTAGTCAGGTATCAGACGACAGATAGGCATTGTCATTCTCTGGATGCAATCCGCTAGCCCTTACGTCAGAAAAGATAACTCCCAGAAGCGGCAAATGTGGGATATGCCCCCTAGGGGGCAACAGACCCCTTCGGCAGGAGTGATGAGGGCGTCTGGAAAATAATAGTTTATTTTTAGAATTCATGGTTTGCACGGATTGATAAGGTGGTTGATGTGAAGCATTGCTTGTTTGTTTACTGAGGGTAGGCCTTTTGTCTAATCAGACCATTTTAGAGCTAGAAGCATTATTGGAATTAGGGAAAACATTGGTCTGAGCGGGCATGGTGAATCGTCGAGTCTGAGCCCATCCATCCAGGCCACCCATGAACCAGACCCCCCTTCCCAAGCACTTTCTGTATCCGGCTACAGATCTGTGCTCCTATGGGAGCTGCTCGAATGCGATGTATCTAGTTGCCCGTCCAGCTCGAAACAAAGGTTGAGGCATGGAGAAGGATTCTACTATCCTGAAGATGGAAAGAACGGATTGACGAAATACTTGGAAAGTGTGAACTGCGTCGAATCACCAGTCTGCCCTGGCATTGTCTCGAGAAAGAGGCCACAAGTGTGAAGGTCGCTGAGAGTGGGACAATGAAAATTTTGGATTAGGTGTAAAAGTGATAAAATGGGTCCTGGGAGACACTTAAAGCCGAGTTGTTATGACGCTCTACGCCTTACGCAGGTAATTTGTGAAAGCCGGATAGGTTCATTTTTTTATAAGAGTGTGCACGACTACCCCGCATTTGAATTTGTCTTTACTCCTAGGAGGGTGGTTAACAATGGTATTGCGGATAGGCGCTTAGGCGAGGCACTGGTTGACTCCCAATCCTCGGTTAAATTGTTTTCAGTTTGGGGTTCTCATATGAGAGGGTAATGGGCTAATGGCTCTGTCTAACTTCCAAAAAGAAAGCACCGCCCAGGGTACGTGCCGACCACTAGGTACTTTAAATGGACAATTGTTGTTGATAATGACCGTTTGTTGCCATCTCCCCGTTCGCGAACCATTAAGTTATGCTCCCTCATTGAGGCTCTTAGGCGGGTAATAAAGCATGAGGGATGTGGGTTCCGCATTCTCAAGCAGTATTTTTCAAAAGTTGGTGAAATATATGTTAAAACAAACTAGCATATACGGCGGTTTAGTGCACTTTATGTCCGTCTGATGTGCCCGTCGTTGCGTTTTCGCAACGCTGATGGCGCCCGGTGTGCCCTTCGTTGCGATTTCGCAACGCACGTTTTTTACGTTTTTCTCGAAAAACTTTTGCTGCCGGCAAAAATTATTTTCGATTCCATGCAAGGCCCTGGTAGAAGCGTAACATATCTTGATTTCATCGATTTTCATGATGGTCAATATTCCTGGGCATAAATGGGTTAAGCAAGCAGCTTTTTCGTTGCATGAGAGAGCTCTAGACACGTATAGCTATGACACTTCTATCTCAGATTTTCAAAATTTTCGAAAAAATGAAAATCAAACACAAACTCAGATTAAAAAATACCTTTTTTTTACTTAAAAAAACAGCACACCTATGTGATGGAATACATGATAGTCAACTTTCTAGACAGGTGCTTAATAATGGTCAATTTATCTGCTTTTTTAATTTACGTGGTCAATTATTCATCGTTAACAAAAAATAAAATTCCTTTTCAGCCATTGTGCTAGATTTCGTACACCAAAACAAATAGCACCACCGTGTTGCTGAGCTCAAACTGCATGTGGATGATTTTTCTTAGAGCAACAATCAGCTTTTTTGACCTCTTTTGACCTGATGTTGACCTGACCTTCGCTCTATTCAGCTGAAAATAGCCTTGGATGGCACCGACGACACTAATTTTGAAATATATGACCGAAACTGACCTTGTCGCATGTCCCATACATTATTTAACCCTCGCCGGCACAGGGCAACCGGGTTGATGCACACATTGCACAGGGTTGATGCAACCCCCCCTTAACCCTCGCCGGCCGAGGGGGGGGGGGCGGGTGCCGCCCCCCCCCCATAGGGTTTTTTCGCGATAGCTCCGAACACGCTGGCGATAGAGAGCTGAAACTTGGCATACCTGACCTTTGATCCAAGCCGGATCTTTTGACACCAACCGCATTTTTGGGTCAGGTCAGGTCACTGACCTATGACGTCATAAGTAAACCTCTGCACGGTCTTCAGATGTCGCAACTTCGCAACGCCCTCACTGCCAGAGGAGATGTCACAGGGAAATGAAACTTGCAGGATCTAGTATCCATTATGAGTCCCACAACTTGTATATCTCGGATTTTTCCTAAAGGTCATATGAGGTCAGGTCATTTTCGTGACCTCACCATTATAAGTCAATGGGGAAAAATTCAAACTGCTATTCTGGCGCCGGGAACGATCTCCAACTATCTCAAGCACACAGAATCGTGATTTGATGCACTCCTTGCAAGGTTAGATGCGTCACTTTTGCAATGTTGACCTTGCGTGACGTCATTTATGACGTCATCAAGGTCAAATTAGTTTTTCGTCAATAACTCTTGATCAAATTGAGTTAGCGAGTCGGGAAAGGCACCAATGGACTCAGGAAGGCCTGCCGAATCGAATGATATGCGACATGACCTCTTTCGACTAACTTCGTGACCTGGGGGTGCTGACCTGACCTTGACCTGAGGTCAACACCCCAAGTTGACCTGACCCGGACAAAAAGTATATCATTCGACGCGCCTGAGCGAGGCGAACACGATGCTGCCAAAATCGGCGCTCTGCGGCCGTTTTTTGCGAAGTTATTCACCAAAAACTGAACCGTACCCTGAGGCACTTGACCTGACCTCAGAGGTCACCGGATGACCTAGGACCTTAAAATCGGGTACCAATCTCTGCGTCTCGTAACGGCGCACACGCTCGTTTTTTTCCGCGACGCGCTAGCTCCACCAGGGGCGAAACGGCGAGGGGGGTCGTACCCCCCCCCCCCTCGGCCGGCGCGTATGTAGAAAACCAATAGGTCCGGCGAGGGTTAAGGTTTTTCGCGAATAACTCGCGTAAAAAGCGGCCGATCGCAACGAAACTTTCAGTACCCTCGCATTGATAAATTTTACACCTGCCCTGAAAATTTCATGACCTTGACCTAAATGACCTTTGACCTGTGACCTCTTTTCCGAGACCATGTTTGGCCGGAATCGCGATTCGGCGTATGTCGGCTCGCATTTGCCGTGCGTTTGCCAGCTTTTCGTGGTTTCAAACGTTCAAACATGTGATCTGATGTTGCTTTCATGCATTAGGGTGGCTATCAAGGTCACCTGAAGGTCAGGTCTGGTCATTGACCTTTGGTGACCTCGGTTCACTTTTTCGAGTTTTACATGTTTCTAGGCTAGCTTTTTAGCTGATTTCGAATTTAGCAACCATTTGAGCATTTACGAAGTAGTTTTGGTGCTTTCGTAACCCGTTACGAAGCTGTCAGAGGCGGTTGACACGTATTACGAATACCCGTCACGACCCCTTTCGGTTGACCTTGACCTGACCTGACCCGACCTGGTCTAAATGCTTAAAGACATCATCTCTGATCAAAACTAACACGATATTAGTGATCAGCACCCCGGAAAACCTCATAGCAGCCACACTTTACGACTTTCTAACAGGTCCCGATTTTCCCAATTTTCGGGTCATTGACCTGACCTGGAAAGTCACCCGATGACCTAGGACCTTGAAATTGGACATCATCGGTTTCGTCTCGTGACGGGCAACACGCTCGTTTTTTTCCGCGAAGCTCTAGCTCAATCAGGGGCCAAACGCGAGGGGGGTCGTACCCCCCCCCCTTGTGCCGTCGAAGGACTCAAAATGGCCTGTGCCGGCGAGGGTTAAATTTCCGTAACCTAGCCTGACCTATAGCTTTAACCTGAAATGTAGGTAGGGGAGAGTGGGGCAAAGCGGCCACCCGGGGCAAAGCGGCTACCCATCGTTTTAGCCCTTCATAACTCGAGGGTACTGAAAGTTTCGTCGCGTTCGGCCGCTTTTTACGCGAGTTATTCCATGGGGGGTTCATCCGACCCCCCCCCTACACATGCGAGGGTGGTCTGTAGATCACGCTCGTAAGTTCCTGGACGGTCACTGATAGTGTAGCTTAACCTTAACGCTCTGGTCCCCAAAATCGTCACTGGCTGATCAGCCAGTGAGCGTCGAGTATTGACGTACGCTGATTGGTGGGATGACTGCATTTGTTGGTTAGAATGCTCACGGTGCTGACAGCGCTAGCGAAGGTGTCTCCACTTTTCGTAATGTTAAAAACCCGGAGCGCACCTGCCGCCCCGCCAAACATTCTTTCCTGCTCGTTCAGTATGATGCTTGTGTTGATCAACGTCGATTGTCGATTGTCGATCAATGCAAATGATGCGTGTAGCGATTCGTTTTCTGACCTTTGTTTTGCGTGTGTACTGAAGACATTGTAAGGTCTTAGAGATTGCAGGAAATGATATGGTCATCGTATGTATTGTGGAAAACAGGTGAGATTCACTGTTTTATAACATCGCGCTTCCGTCACATGTAAGCATCTCATTTACCAATGGGCTATTTGTGAAAATGCGGCGACCTCGATGCTAAAGCTCAACACATATCTCAATCACTGTTGAAAACGCCACCCACTTTCAATGATGTTACACTTGAGCCACTTGTTTTGAACCCCCTCGGCAGCACTTAGTAAGGAGGACGATACCCTCCGTACCCTCCCGAGTGTCCGCCGCCGCCGCCGCAGTATCCGCCGCCGCGTTTCTGCGTGACCACGCGCTCCTGGTTCTGCACCTGGTCCACAATCCGCGTGTTGTACACCTCACGCTGCACGGGCACCGTCACGATCTGGGTGTTGTAGGTGTCGGCGCCACGCACCGTGCTGGCCACCTGCACCACCTCTGTGCGGTACACCACGCGCGGCTGCGACGGCACGCGCACCGTGTTGTACACTTGTTTCACCTCGGTGCGCACCACCCGCTGCGTGTCGGTGACGTAGTCGGTGACGAAGCGCGGGCTGACCACGTTCTGGACGATGGTGCTGCGTACAGGCACCAGTTGAGTGGTGGCTTCTGTGCGTGTCACGGTTTGGGCGACGTTCTTGGTGTTGGTGACGTACTGCGGCACCACGCGCGACCGGTAGACGATCGAGGTGACGGGCACCACGTTGACACTGGTCACGGTGACGAAGGTGTCCGGCTGGCGGACCGGCTGAGACACCACCTCCGTCTGTGAACAGGAGGCAACAGCGATCAGGGATAAGAAAAACATCTTTTGAGAAAGGTATGCAATGAAAGAGGTTGTGTGACCACCAAGCGTGAAATCGTAAGGCATAATATTTCGGTAATCGTTACCTGTTGAAGTCTAGCCCTGGTTTACAATCCAGGATGGTTTATTTTTTTCTATTTCTGATAGCAATGAGCAACAGGTTATTCTTCATCCTTCTAATAATGAAGTCTAGCCCATTCAAGTTTTTATGATTTTCTGGATTACTGAATGCTCCGTAATTACCACTTCAGCGGCCCTTCACAGCATTGTCTGAAATAAACTTACCCTGTATTGGATACTGGTCTTGACGATGGTCTCCGCTGGAACCTGGAAGAAGCTGGTGATCTCGCGGGTGTTGTAGACCGTGCGCAGCTGGGTCTGGGCAGGTCCGGGCACCGGCACCACCAGGGTGCTGACCTGCAGCCGCGGCACCTGCACCACCGTCGGCACCTGCACCTGCGTGTTGACGACGCTGACGCTGGTGCGCACATCCTGGCGCGTCACGTACTGGGTCTGCGTTTTGAACTCGGTGTTCACCTGAGTGCGGACCACGGTTCTTATGACGGTGCTGAACTGGTCCGGTAGACGCACTGTGGAGACGACCTGCTGGGTGTTGACCTTGGTCACCAACTGGGTCCTGAAGTCAGTGCGGCTGTCGATGTCTGTGCGCACAACGAGGCTGGTGACGAACGAGGGCACGAGCGTGGTCCGTGTCAGCAGACTAGTGCTCCGCTGGGGCACCCGGACGGTACTAACGACTTGCAAGACTGAGGTGGACTCCCGTGGCACCGTCACCACACGATCCTGGGGACAGTCGGCTCCCACACTGGCACCCGTGTTCCCTCCGCCGACGAACGACGCTCCGCCACCACCGATAGCGCTTCCGGTGCTGATGACATTGCCGGTACCGCTGTCACAACCAACTCCAGTGGCAGGGTTGCAGCCTCCGTTGAGGATGTCGCCTCCGCCACAGCCAACTCCAGTTGCGGGGTTGCAGCCTCCGGTGAGGATGTCGCCTCCGCCACAGCCAACTCCAGTTGCGGGGTTGCATCCTCCAGTCTGAACATTACTTCCGCCACAGCCAACGCCGGTTGCAGGGTTGCATCCTCCAGTCTGAATACTGCTTCCACCACAGCCAACGCCGGTTGCGGGGTTGCATCCTCCAGTCTGAATACTGCTTCCACCACAGCCAACGCCGGTTGCGGGGTTGCATCCTCCAGTCTGAATACTGCTTCCACCACAGCCAACGCCGGTTGCGGGGTTGCATCCTCCAGTCTGAATACTGCTTCCGCCACAGCCAACGCCGGTTGCGGGGTTGCAGCCTCCGGTGAGAACATCGGTTCCACCACAGCCAACGCCGGTTGCTGGGTCGCAGCCTCCAGTCAGAACATCGCTCCCACCGCAGCCGATTCCGGTGGCAGGATCGCAACCGCCGGTGGTGTATCCACTACTGCTGTCACTGCCAGTTCCACAGCCGACGCCAGTAGCGGAGTTGCAGCCACTGTCGCTGTTGACGCTGCTGCTGCTGCCAGTGCCGCTGAACAGGGAGAGAAGCTCAGCAGCGCTTGAGTCAGAAGTCGTTCCAGTGGCGAGGCCACCGTCGTTCTCTCCATCATAGTACGCCACTGGCGATGCAGCGCAGAGGGCCAAGAGCCCGGCCAACAGAATGAGCCGACACATCCTGAAACAGACGGGTTATTCAGACAGGGAATACGCCATAAAACCACTCAGAAACTGATCAGCGACATTCGCACGAGTTCTCCTCAAAACCGTTCACATATTGCAAACTAAAATAAAAGATTGACTTACCAAAGGGTTGGATATAAATGTTGTCATGAAGAAGAAGGACATTTCAAGCTCGTAGAAGATAAGATGTGGATGTAGGTATGATGTATTCTCACATTGAGCAGCCATGGACACATTTGGTACACACTAAACGAGACTGTGTGTCGGTCGTTTTGTCCACATGGTAACTTACCTCGCATGCCTCCTCCCTTTCTAAAATAATTGCGCTGGCTTATTCTTATGCCTCGCACTCCAGAAAGAGATTTTGGCACATGACAAACGGGATATTAAAAAACCTTTTTGGTGCATATTCTGCTTTTACCCCTTCAGGCGTTAACGCAATAAAATGACACGTTAATAGCGATGGGGAGCCCTGTATGACCCATAGCCACCTCTACCGCCGAAACCACCAACAGCCCCCGCGCCACCTACAAAGCCCCCACCAAGGGGCGCAGAGTAGCTCCCGCTGGGCGCCGCAAATCCGCCGCGACCGCCACTCCTGCATGGCAAGTCGATGAACTTGGTGCGCACGACGATATTGGGGATCACCCTGGTGGAAAGCACCTCCCGGTTGACGACCTGCTCCACGGTCTGAGTGCGCACCACCGGGATCACGTTGCCGGGCTGGGTCACAACGTTCACGTCGGTCCTGTACACGACGCTGACGACCTCCCTGGCCGGCTCTGTGACGGTCACGAAGTTGGTGTTGACGCGGATATCTGTGTTGGTCACCTGGATCTGCTGTGTCTTCACAATGCGCGAATCAACGTACTGGGTGTTGACCACTTGTACAGGCACCACCTGCTGCGAAGTGTAGGTCTTGTAGAGAGTGCGCTCGAAGAGCTCGGTAGAGGTAACGTCGATGGTCTTCACCTGAGGCACCACGACCTCCGACTCAACGGGAATCACCCGCTGCGACTGCTGAATCACTGTCGAGGTGCGCACGGCGCCGGGCACTTGCACCGGCACCGTCCTGAAGCGCACCTCCTCTTGCACGAACGTGGACACCACTGGCGCAGACGGCTGCGAGACCACGCGTGTTTTCAGCACCTCCTCGGTCTTCGTGACGACCACGTTGGGTCCGGGCACGGGGCGCCGCTCGGTGAAGACGCTGACCTGCGGCACGATCTGCGTGCTAGTGACGAAGATGGTTTTCGTCTGGGTGCGGAACTGGACCGAGGTGCGCAGCTGGGTGGTCTCCAGAGTGGTGGTCAGCTGCCGAATGACGGTGCTGCGAACCACCTGCTCGCTAGTGCGCACCACCTGGCGCACGGCGCCCGGAACCTGCACCGTGCGCGTCACGAAGCGCACCACGTTGCTGGTCCGCACAACCTCCTGGGGCACCACCACGGTGCTGCGGAAGACCGAGGTGTGCACGATCACCGAGGGCACCACTTGCGAGGAGATAACCGTACTCGTGACGTAGTCCACCACTGGCTGGGAGACCACGCGGGTCTGGGTGTCAACCACCAGCCGGTCGGAATACGACGTGATGGTCTTGGCAGGCGGGCAGTAGCGGTTGTTGTTCTCTCCGCCGTCGGGATTCGGAGGAAGGTAGTTGCCATCGAGCTGCGGCACCTGCGCGCGCGCAGCGGTCACCAGCAAACAGAGACAGAGGGCGGCCAGCATCCTGCCGGAGAGAGGGCCACACCAGTGAGAGGTGATTGGACTGGGAGGCGCGGGCGGCGGCGGGGGCGATCTAAGTCCAATCACTTCTGCACCGGCGTGAACCCTCCCCCGGCTGGCGGGCTGGCCCTCCGGCTGATTGCCGCTGGCCGACCCTGGGCAGCAAGGACTGGACTTACGATCGCCCCCGGCCGGGGCCGCCCGCGCGACACACTGCCGCTCAATACCCAGAAAGATGCTTCAGGTGTTTCTTCACATGAATCTCGGAATGTAAATGTTAATATCAATATCGTTACCATAGCCTATCGCATTATTGACATCTGTCGGACATGAGCAGCACCTTCCGAGATCACCGTCATCATTCATTTCAACATGTTATTCTGTTTTTATCTGTCTGCGCTTATTAGCATCATGCGCTTATCAATTTATACACTAACGGACGAAGCCAGGGATTGTTAGTACTACGGTGACAAAGATAAACGTCTTCCTGTCTGTTTGTGCTTACTGATTATGTCCTCAGCTTTGCATTATTAGATAATTCAAGAGCTTTCAGGTAGCCTTATTATGTCTGATACGTAGGTAACAGAACAGGGGACTCTCTCGTTCTCCGATCCCACGCATAATATGCGCTGCTTGGCACGTGCTCTACCTGACATGATCACATGTTATGTTTAAGTACCGAAGTCCTTTCACCTTGTCGCAACCTCGTCGTGTTTTTAATAGGCATTAATACCCTATGTTCTAAGTGACACAAAACACAAAAGCTGAAGAAGTGAATTAAGGCCAAGACCCATGCATCTCTCGTCATGCGTTCAGTATGAAACAACTACCAACGTCATATGTTTCAATGTGTCACAGAAATCGTAAGAGATTTACTTAAGCTAGCAGAAGAACATCTTTTGCAATGAACATCGTCTTTTACTGCATAGATGATAGCTATTAAATCTCTTGCAAGGGAGTTACCACATTTTAAAGACTGCCTGTCTCATGAGCCGATGTCTCATAACGCGTTTTTGTTTCGTACGCAGCCGTCCGTAGCTGTTCTCAGAGAGCCACAATCCGTGTCACCGTGCGGTGAATGGCGGCCAGACCGGTCCGGGCAAGGTCAGCACGGCCGGTCACGTCAGGAGCGTAAAGCGTCACTGATGTCACTGATGTCGCGGACGCGTCACGGGCGCGGTGCCGGTGGGAGACTCATGCCGCTTCTGGACACCCGCGCGTGAACTAGTGAGTCGAATCTGATGCTATCTGATTTTTAAGCCGGTGTGAGCTGTGGCCGGTAAGATGAAGTGTCTATTAGGTATATCATATAGCATATATCGTACTTATAACACTTATATTGTGTAGCATATTATTCTTCATTGTTTTAACTTACTTTGAAACCCCTCAGATCTCACCAACAAAATAGCTACTTTTCGTTATCAGACCGAAAATGTGCCAGAAGATAAACTTTTTTTACATATTGCACGAGGAGAGTGATGTCTGATTTCTTTTTTTGCTTTTCAGTATATCGATCACTAATTACTTTTCATGTACAAAGCATGTCGCACATTTAAAAAAGAATGCTTTTTTTTTAGTAATAAAACAGTCTTCTTTCCTCAATTAAACTATGTCAAACAACAGGACCTGCAGGCGAACACAATAAATCGTTGAAAAGTTTATGAAATAAATAGGTATACGCATCTTGACTGCGATATTTGCCAGTTAAGAGTTTATTTGTTTCTCTTGTAATCTAAAATAGTTAGATATGTAAAATTGGTTGGTAATTGTGTTTTTAATCCGATTTAAAGGCACGTTGTTTGAAAATATTAATTTAACCTGTTTTATGGCAAAAAACATTGAACCCGGCCGCAAGAACTTACGGGTGTGAGCACTTACGCATTCACAACGCCTTTTGAAATAATAAATTTCAAAAGAGGTGAAGTGCAGAATAGTGGAAGCCAGCTGCTTTCTTTTCACTTTATCTTAATCACGCATTGACTTACGTGCAATCGGAGTATTCAAACTCGAAGGTTTTGAGAAGCGGGAACCGTAAGTACACACTTAGGAAGTTACTTTGATATGTGAGTGCCACGTGCAACTGCCTTTTACCAAAGAACTTTTTATCCACTCCCCCAAAAAGAAGAACTAAAGTTATCAGGTCATAGAAGTGGAATCTGCACTTGCGCCTTTCGCACATGCAGAATCATGCCCTATACAGTATAGGTATGCAACGAGTGACGGCAGCTGAATATATCTGATCGGTCCCCCCCCCCCCCGAGACGCGCCAACCGACCGCTTTATCTCATATCTGCAACTGTGACTACGAAGTGGGCGAAAAAGTACGAGTATACATATTCCAGAGAAACCTCGTGAACGTTTTGCCCTTCCTCTTGTACAATCAATGTTGGCTTTTAGTTGACCAGATGCACAAACAGAAGTATGACGCATGCCAATTTGCATTTGAAATGGCAATCGGATGCCAACTTTTGTGCGTGACTTTATACAAATACCAAACCAATGCCGATTTTGCATTAAGTATGTCAATTCAAACAAATTATTAAGCATTTTCTGGAGCTTAATTTCAGTATCCAACTTTGTAAATTTAGTAAACATTTTATTACAGCAAGTGCCAAGTTTTGTTCTGTATTTTTCCCCCACGGTTTTGGTTCGTGTTTCGCTTGGTGTGGCTTTTCCAACCATATCAATTTGATTACTAATTTGGATCAATTTGAATCGGATATCAATTTGACGTCTCTCTCTCTCTCTCTCTCTCTCTCTCTCTCTCTCTCTCTCTCTCTCTCTCTCTCTCTCTCTCTCTCTCTCTCTCTCTCTCTCTCTCTCTCTCTCTCTCTCTCTCTCTCTCTCTCTCTCTCTCTCTCTCTCTTTCTCTTTCTCTTTCTCTTTCTCTAGCTCTCTCTCTCTCTCTCTCTCTCTCTCTCTCTCTCTCTCTCTCTCTTTCTCTATCTCTCTCTTTCTCTCTCTCCCTCCCTCTCTCTCTCTTTCCCCCCCTCCCCCTCTCTCTCTCTCTCATTTTCATTCCAAAAGTAATCGCAATGACTTCTTTCAGGATAATTCTAGAATCTAAACTGTCAGCCACAACTGGAGATGCTTCTAAATTGGTTGAACCACCAGAGCACATGCACTGCACCCGCGACCCCGGCATACCGCTCATGTTTCTTACCTGAGGTGCTGCGTTCGGAGAGGTGTTGCGATGCTCACCCCTCGCCGGTGAGAAGTGCCACTGACCAACACCGGTCCTGGCTTTATAGCGGACCACGGAGATGGTGTCCATAAGTCGCCCGGTGACGAAAGGGTCATCCGCACCAACCAACCCGCGACCAGCGGTATTAGTGACAACAGGCGGCGACAGTGCACCGGCTGGGACGAGAAACGGTGAGTGGCAGCGCACTGTGATCTCACCGTGTCATCGGTGACGAAAATCTGCAGATTTGTAAAAATCGTACATTCGTTGTGTGATGATCTGAATTATTCCTATCATTCAGAAGTGGCATGCATTTAATGGTGGTTTTCGCCTTAATTTCGCCAAACACGTGCCCACAGTAATTTTACGAGTACAACTGAACAAGATTGATCGACTTAATTTTGTATTGAAGTACCTATGATGTAAAAAAGCTATCTTCCTGTGCCAAATTACCACATCGCGTCAGCATCGGTCATTGGAAGTAGGTAAAGTCATCTCTTAATTGATGCATGACGGAATGAAAACAAACAGGCACTGAAAAGGTGAAGTATAGGCAAGGGCGCACACAGGGGGGGGGCACACGGGCCCGTGCCCGCCCCCATTCGAGTTGGGGGGCCCAACTCGAAGGATTAGGGGCCCATTTGAGGCGGCCGAAGGCCGCCTCAAATGGGCCCCTAATCTTTAGACCGCCGAAAACCGTGTAAAAATTAGCTGAAATAATGATTGAAAAGACTGGGAAGGCCCAGCTCGCTCCCCAGCAGGACCATATGAGTCCATCATATGCCCAGTAGCGCAGCCAGGGTCGTTGTGGTGAAATTTCAATGGCCCCTTAAATGCCTCAAAAGGCCCACGGATGGCGTCACAGGATCCTCAGATGGTCTCGGAGGGCCCTCAGTTATCGTCAAAGGGCCCTCAGATGGCCTCACAGAGCCCTCAGATGGCCTCAAAGGGCCCTCAGCTAACGTCACACGGATCTCAGAGGACCTTAACCCGCGCCCTGGTGGGGTCTGTTTATAACGCGACCTGGTGGGGGGGGGGGCTATTTTTTGCCCCCCCCCCTCGTATCTCCGAAACTACTGGACGGATCCGCAAAATTCAAACGGCGTTCGAAAGGCCTGTCAAATTTGTCGAAGGAAACCAAATTTCATTGACCTCGGGGTCACCGATGACGTCACAGGTCAGGTCAAAGATGAAATGTTTCACCGTTCACGGGTCATCTAGGGAATGCGCTATAACACCGAAGAAAACGCATTTTGTCGAGAATCAGCGATAGGGCGTCAGTTGCCTAGTACATATATTACTATAAGAGGTCACTGACATTACCAGGTCAGGTCACAGGTCAGGTCACCAAGGGTCACAGGTCAGGTCACATGAACCTAACTTTAGGTACTAAGGTTGTGCGATGCATGTTTTATGGCCAATTTTTCATTTCCAACTCAATGGTGTTGGTTATAAGACTATCAGGTACGGCTTAGGTCACTTTCTGGTGGAGGTCAGGTCAAGGTCAGGTCAAAAAAGGTCAAATTTCAAAGTTGATATTTTTGCATAAAATGGGTATTGATTCCATGCAGCTTGTCACGGGGAGTCTAATGGTGGTCTTTGTTTTGCGCTACAAGGTCTAGAATTGCTAAAAATTGAGTTTGAAAATTTGACGTCATCAATTTTGAACAGTTTTTTCGCTGTAACTTGGCCAAAAAAAGAGGTATCGATCTCAAATTTGGTATGTAGATAGAAGGCGGTAAGGACTATCACATATATTCCGGTTTTTTCGAAATTCAAAAAACTTTTTGGATTTTTCGGCTATTAAATTTAAAAAATCTATTTTTTGATTTTTGGGGGTCAAAATCCAAAAATTTTAAAAATCCGAGATAGCAGTTTTGTAGCCCTGTCAATTCTACAGCTTTTATGTCTTTATCGTTTTTCTGTATTTGCAAAGCTATAGGCCTGACAGCTCTTCCCGCGAAACCCTTTTTTGGGTCGAAAACGGCAGAACATGACGTCACTCTGACGTCATTTCCGGCCAACCTATCATAGCCTTTGGAAAAATTTTTGGTCACAATGTGTAAAATTGATGTCCGGGAGGGTACTGAAAGTTTGGTGACGATCGGCGCAGCGGTTCTGGAGATATATAGAAAAGTCTGGAGGGGGGGGGCAAAAAATAGCCCCCCCCCCCACCAGGGCGCGGGTTAAAGGGCGTCAAAGAGCCCTGAGCTGGCGTTAGAGGTCCCCTAGCTGATGTCAGAGGGCCCTGGCCTCGCATCAAACGGCCCTCCGAAGGCCTTAAAGGGTCCTTAGTTGGTGTCAGAGGGCTCCAGCTGGTGTCAGAGGGCTCTCAGCTGGCGCCAAATGACCATTAGAAGTTTTTATTAGACCATTATATATAGTATAGGCTATAATGTAAAATATGATAGTTTGAATTTAAGCGAGAAGCCTTGAATAGACGGATTGACAGGGCTGCACAGTGATGCAAATGGGGCTCACGAGTGGCCATAAATACCGAAAAGGCCCAAATTTCAAGTTCACCTAATTGAATAAATCGTAATATGACCAGTCAGGCAAATGTTTGAAGTGTCTGAAAAAAATATGACTTTAATGTTTTTGTCAAAACCGGCCTCGTGTATGACTGTCAGAAGTCGTGACATTTTCTATGTCGTAAAATGACTGTCAGATACTCGCAACTTCAAACGCCGCTAGCGTGCGTCCATTTCATACAAATGACAAAAATTATACATGGCAATGATCCCCAAGGTCTGTTGCTTCTAATGCAGGGTCACAAAAAGCCGTATCTCTTTTGGTTTGGCGTTGATCTAACTATTGGTCATCATGTTGCAATCGCAGTTTTTTATTTAAAAATATTTGCTTTCGTTTCACCTAGAGCAGTTTACACAGTGTGTGCCCGTTAGTGCACCATACCAGAGCATTCCCTAATCATTTCTGAGCCGCACTGTGAAAGAATGAAGGCGCTAGCACAGGGCTGACCGGCGCTACTAAAGTTTTCGTCCGTTGCGGTCGGGTGCCGCGGCGCGGTGGGCAGCCCGGGCGGCCGCGCCGCGGGCGGGCGGCCTCAGCGGGGGTTCGTCGGTGCATCCCTCTGCTGTTCCTAAACGAAGTGTGCTATCGCCTCGCGACAAAAACCAATGGATTGCTCTTGACAAGATCTCGCGAGTGAGCATATTACTTTTGACTTAAGTCAATATTTGACCTACTTATAACAGTTCAAAGTTAAACGTCTGTCGAAATTGCGATCCGTGGTGAAAGCAATCCGCCCCGACCGCGACACCCGACCGCGCCGGACAAAAACTTCAATAGCGCCGGTCTGCCCTGTGCTAGCGCCTTAACTCTTTCACAGTGTGACTCAGAAATGGTTAGGGAATGATATGGTATGGTGCACTAACGGGCACACACTGTGTAAACTGCTGTAGGTGAAACGAAAGCAAATATTTCTTAGTAAAAAACTGCGATTGCAACATGATGACAAATGATTAGATCACCGCCAAACCAAAAAAGATGCGGCTTTTTGTGACCCGGCATGAGAAGCAGCAGGCCTTAGGGATCATTGCCATGCATAATTTTTGTCATTTGTATGAAATGAACGTACGCTAGCGGCGTTTGAAGTTGCGAGTATCTGACAGTCATTTAACGACATAGAAAATGTCACGACTTCTGACAATCATACACGAGGCCGGTTTTGACAAAAATATGAAAACTATGTGAATTTAGATGCGCCAAACATTTCTTTCGTTAGCCATATAGCGATTTACTCGGTTTGGTAAACTTGACTTTTTGGTATTTATGGCCACTCGTGAACCCCATTTGCATCACTGTGGGCTGGAGCCCACGCTAAGCAGAGCTTGTTGCTTGGGACCTGACACCTACCATCCGATCGCAAGTTTCCGGGCAAAAGGAGAGATTTAGATGCTAAAGTTTAACTTGCCCATCAACGCCGGACGCGACCTGTACCTACCACTCAACTGGCTGCGGCTGCTCCCACCAACCGCAGACCATCCCCGCCAAGAGTCTTATATATGGAGCGCCGGGGCGACTCGAGCCCGCCGCGGGCTCTCACCACAGGGAGTCCATCACTAAGCAAATGAGCTATGGACAGTCCTTTTTACTATATCAACGACAATGTGTTTTCAGAACATTTGGATTCTCACCAATTGGATCCTATATGCAAAATGAAAATGAAAGGCGTTGTGAGTTGATATACTGATAACACTGATGATATATGTACATCAGTGAGTTGATGGATATGTTATGGGCATGGTTGGTGATATCAATTAGCAACCAAGTAGTGACAACCGTATTATGTATTTGCAGAACATCATGGGATTAAGCATGTATGACACATTTTCAGATGACATTTGGCACTTACAATCCGGTTCTATGTTATCTTTGTTACATAATCGTTTCCCAGCTCCACAACGGGGTAAAAGCCCAGTCGCTTAGCAAATCTGCACACTGAAGAAGATCAGGGCAAACATGCTACCTTGAAGCACTACTTTACCAATGAATGACATAGAAATGACGCTATGCTTCGCTTGTAATTTGGGCTGTATGCTAGCTTATGACTTGTGCTAAGGCTGCTTTGATATTTCACCATCACGATACAGCAACAGCTGATGATCCTAGATGATTAGTGATATCTGGGTCCATTGTCATGTACCTAACATAAGATCACTCACTGCCAGTAAGTTTAATGGGCGTTACACCTACTCAAATACGTATCGATTGTCACAATCGGAACAGAGAGGTCATTGATTTAGTTACAAAATGGATGGCGAAATGTAAGTCATCAACTTAGCTGCTCACTGATTGAGCTGAGCAATCCACGGTAATTTACTCTCTAATTCTGGGATGAGATAGCACCTTGTAGGCTGTCTTGCATTTGCGTGCCGGCTCACATGTCGATAGAAGATACACTTGTCATATTGTTTAAACATTTCAGTCGCACAATCGCTTCACAGTTTTCGATTTCACCCACGTTACTGTCTGTGCATGTCACCCCGGGTGTTCTGCCACTTTGTGAGGAGATCCACCCTCCAGTGCCAATGATCTACACCTGCAGCATATGTCTGACGGTTATATCGATCCACCTGACGTATTTGGACACTCTGGTGTAGACGCCGGGCCTGTTGGGGCTGGCGCAGCCCTCTCCACCGGACACCACGCCGATCACCCTGTATCTCCCGTCAGCTCCGTGGGCTACCAGCGGTCCTCCAGAGTCGCCCGTACACGCGTCTCGAGGCTCGCTGCCAGCACTCTCCGCACACACCTTGCTCGTCCTCCGAAACCCGTCTCTGAACCGCTCTAGTTTTCTGAACGCCTTCTCACAGTCTTTGGCGGGGACTACTCGGAGTTCTGCCTGCTGTAGCACTGGCGGCGTCTCTCCATGATACTCGAGCTGCCCCCATCCGGTCACCGTGGCCTCCACACCGACAAACACGGCACCCGGAGGAGGCAAACAGGCGGGCCACACGCGCCGCCGGAGCACCACCGGCTCGCGCAGCAGCAGCAGCGCGATGTCGTTGTGCGGCCCCCGGTACAGCGGGTGAACCTCCACCGCCGCCACCGGCACCGTCTCATGGCGGCCGTCGTCGTCGCGCGTGAGATCGTGCTCGCCAAGACGAACGAGCAGCTCCTCTGCAGAGTAGCTGACCACGCAGTGCGCCGCGGTCAGGACGACGGATGGCGCGATCAGAGTGCCCCCACAGAACCAGCGGGGGTCGTCCGGGGGTCCGGTGCCGAGCAGGACCACCCACGGCCAGTCGCCGGGTACTGCATCCTCACCCCCGACTATCCGCGAAGACAGCCTCGGCGCCGGCCGGCCGCAGTCGAGGGACGAGAACGGATCCTGGCGAGAGGCTCTCTTCAGGATGCTCTTCAGTTTTGAGGCGAGGCTGCGACCTCTGTGGCCAAGTCGGTAGTAGGAGTGTATCGAGTAGCAGCTGTGGACGTAGAATCCAGCCACTGCGACCAACACCGTCGCTCCGAGTAGCGCGCCTGCCACAGTCCGCATTGCGCCGCACACCACCTCTCGACAACAACTGAGTCCCGTTCACACTGCTGTGTGTAATGCGTGTCTGAAAACCGAGAGACAATGCCTGATGTCCATCTGAAACCCGCATGCTACTGGTAGCCCGCTCTCTGGACAAGGTCACTCTCGGTATGTGTTGCCCTCATAGGTACTGTTCCGCACTGCAGCATAACTGAGCGTTTTCTTTTGCACCACATGAGATGTAGAGCGAAACGACGTTGCGAGTACCTACCTACAGTTTATCTTGCAGTGGCATCGGTAAGATAGCAATCATTCTGCACTCACTACATGCATAAAAATATAGGCATGGATTACCATGTCAGCCTCTCCTGTGGCATTTAACGACAATATCGAATGCAAAATGCAGAGGCGGAAAATGCAAGTTTATTGATAAGCAAACCTCACAGTTATTGACGTGCATTGTCATGTGTCTGTATATTATTGGTTGTGCTCATGTCTCATGTATGTTCAGTTGTTCATAGCTTTGAGAAAATCAGACAAGGCCGTGGCAATGAACACGATTCACTTAAGACCCAGGTTACAAACATTACTTTAAAAAATATGTTTCTTAAAATTTAGACATGGTGTAGACCAAGCCAAGCTGATGTTGAAGTCTCCATCATTTTTTTTTCTTGTATACGGATAAAAGCGATTAGCGATAAAATTGTTACCGAAGCGCTGTAGCGACCACGACGACATGCAACGGTCGTCTAACGCACTGCAATAGGCTTTCACGTATATACCCGACCAACAGGCGAGTCGCATAAAACACACCCGTCTGCCGAGCGGCCGCTGCTGTCACAGCCGGCTGCGCTGACGACCACCACCGCTGATTTTAGCCGCGATAGTGGCGTGGAGGTCGCAGACGACGTGCTCCCTGGTCACGACAGTCGCAGAGAGCGAAAGGCTCCGTGTGCTCCTGTGGTGACCTCCCGCAGACCGGCGCGCCATCGCGCAGGACCGGTTCAGATGTGCGGTACTAGCCGGGAGGAGTTTACGTGTGGAGTTCCCATTAGATGATGAATGGAGAGGAAAAGTGAGCTTTGTTATATGGTAAACAGTTAAGCTAAAAACTGTAATAGGGAGTGGAAACAGGTTACCTGTTGAATAAAAATAACATTAAAGGAAGCGCCTACAAATTGTGCGTGAACAGTTACTGTTAGCTTGCAAAATATGGTAAATCAACTATCTCTGGAAAAAAAATCACCTCTGACGCAACAACCAACAGACTAAGCCAATTCTCGAAACAGAAAAGGTCCCCTTCCATAGGTGTCGATTTGTATACTTTTGGGTGTGCCCGGGCACCCCCAATGGCCAATGCTGAGTTGGGCACCCCCCAGGGGGCTCTGGGCACCCACAACCAAAGTTGGTACAGTCATCAGTCATCACTGTTACGATTATTTCAACGCATTGTTTTCTCTAATTCATAGGCGCGGGAACGGGGGAGGGCAGTGGGGACAGTTTACCCCCCCCCCCAACTCTGGGGCCGTGGGGGCGGTGCCCCCACAGCTTTAACCCGCGCACCGACGGGGGGGGCGGATATCCGCCCCCCCCCCCCCTGAGGTTTTTCGCGAATAGCGAAATTTGGTACGACTATTCCCTCATCAATTTTACACATGGTGTGCAAGTTTGAACCTCCTAACTTTCAAGGTCAGGTCACCAGGTCACTTTGAATGACCCAACCTCAAGTCACTTTTTTGCAACTTTGTCACCGTGCCAGAGCTACAGTAGATGTCGGAGGCCTTTGAAAGTCGCAGGATGTTATTAGGTCATTAGTTGCTACAATTTGTATATCTCGGAATTTTGATATCGGTGACCTAAGGTCAGGTCAATTTCGCGACCTCCCCATTATAAGTCAATGGGGGAAAAATCAACTCCTTGTTTTTACCACTAAAACGGGTCGGAATGGCCCCATATACCATACATGACTTCATATACGATCAACCTTCACTACCTTGAGGTCTGTTTTGCTGTTGGGCAGCTGTGAGGTCATAGGCGTCGCCAGACATTTTCGGTTGGGAGGGCAAAATCAAGTTTTGTGTTAAATCTTGCCTTTCCCCAGCCGTTACTCACTCGTTTTACATATCATTCGACGCGCAATGGTGCGAGGAATCCGATGGTGACAAAGTTTTCCTTCTAGCTATAGCATGTATTTTTTTACAAAAAAAAATCAAAATTTTGAAATTTCTGGACAAAAACGACCGTTAGAATTACAGTGGCTGCGATTGCCGACGCACTGCAGAGGGCCCCAGTGCAGACTCTCGTCGCTCATGATCATTACCCAGAAGAAGGTGAAAAACGCTCCGTTTGAATCGGATCACCTCGCTAAAACCTCCATTCACGCATGCATGCCGAGGTTTTACGTGAAATGCATAGGGCTTATCCCAGCCGCCGATTGTAGCTAAGAATTGGGCATTCGGCGGAGACTGAGAGAGAATGTCGGAAGTGTGAATCGGAAGTACATCATTCATCCTTGCTGCAGTGAGAAGAAGTGTTTTGTTCACTCGAGTGTGAACAAAAAGTTTCTGGTTTTTCGAGTGAAGGAAAGCGCTGCAAACGCGACCAAAAATATTTAACGGAACCAAAAGTTACGCACGGCATGGCGGTAAGGGATCCCTTAGAGATAGGATTGTGACTTCCAGGCCATTTCAGGCCACTCAGGGTCAGTGTGGACTCTCAGAAGCCTGCTTAGGATCCCGGAGATCGGCGTGGGTCACCCCAAATATTTACGTGTATGTGGTGCTTTAGGGCTTTCCGAGCCTAAGGTGGGCCCGGAAAGCCCTTTAGGGCACACGAGCTTTCAGAAGCCAGTGTGGGCGGCGGGCGCTAAGAGACTAGGCCCAGGGTGAGCCTGGAGCCCTCGAATAACAGTGTGAACCGTCGGGGTCTGTGTCGAATCCTTAAGGACCCTACGTTGGTAGGGACATAAGAAACATGTGTTGCGGCCCTCAGAGGGACACGTGAGTTGTGACCCCTCAGATGCCGCGTTGGGGTTAGTAAAGTCTGTCGCCTCAAAAGTTCGGCTGAACTATCATAGGCCAGTTGAGGTTTTCAGAAATTTTCGAAGGCATCCTCAAAGATTCGTGTGGCCCTTCAGAGGTCTACGTATGTATAATGTCCTCAAAGATCCCTGTATGGGCCCTCTAGAGAACATGGACACCAGTGGAACTCTCAGAGGCCGGTTTGGGCCCTCCGAAAGCTTCTTAGAGCTCAGTGGAGCTCCTTAGGAGCCTGTGTGAAGGCAGGCTCATGAGCCCTGCGGCACTTGAACGGTGCTTGTGCCTGTCGCAGACATTTGACGAGAGTTGAGAAAGCCCCGAAGATTTCGTGTCACGCTTTGAAAGAAAATTATGTGTCAGCACTCCAAAATTTATGAAAATCAGCTACAAAATGTAATAAAGAATCAACCAGGAACATGGCACGAAACATGGCATTGACATTTCCGAGTCTGGAGTCGGAGTCTTGAAGATTTTGGCGACTGCGACTCTGACTTTGGTTTGAACTGCACGCTCCAACATAGTCTGACCTCACAGGCATTCACAAAAAGGTACCCCCATTTTTCCCCGACTCCAAAATCTCATCGGATCTGTATCGATCTCAGGGGGTGCCCGGTCCGAGGTTGGGGGGGGGCAACCTGCCCCGCTTGCCCCCCGTGGCGACGCTAATGTGTGAGGTCATGTGACGTCATCAAAGGTCACCAAAGGTTTTTGGCCAATAACTCCGTACAGGAACGAGATACAGACGCGTGGATGGTCTCATTGTGTTCAGCTCGTCAAGACGCATCGAATGATATACATGATGACCTCGAGGTCACGTGACCTGAGGTCAACCTTTGACCTTGACCTTTCGAGGTCAACATATATATCATTCGATGCGGATTGACGAGAGGATCACGATGATGCCCTTAGTTTGCTCCTATCTTGACAAATTCGAAAGTTATTCGAGAAAAACTATCTCCATATCTAGCGCCGCCATTTTGACTTTTTCGACCCCTGTGATGTCATCTTTGACCTGACCTGAAAATGACCTTCGTAAAAATTGTAGATCTTGACCGTGCGTATCCGATGCCGTTTACCGCTTGTCGCTATCTTGCTTCGCTCTCGAGATCTCAGGGGGGGGGGCGGTCATCCGCCCCCCCCCCCCCCCCGTCGGTTGGCGCAGACCCCCGTCGGTGCGCGGGTTAAGACGGAATATCGCACTTCTTTGCAAATGTTTTCTTTTTTGATCAAAACGCCAAGGGATGAAAAATAAGTGGCCTAAAACCGGCGCGAAAGCTAGGTTTGGGGGCATAGGCGGCGGAACGGGGAGGGCACCGGGGCACCGTGCCCCCTTTGATTTTGGCATTTCAACATTAGCCCTATGGGCGTTGCATGGAAAGAATGGGACCAAAAGTCGGCAGTGCCCCCCCCCTTAATTGAAGGTGTTCCGCCGCTACTGTTTGGGGGTACCCTAGGTTGATTCAATTCATGGTGTGCCCCCCCCCCCTCGTCTGAAAGTAGTTCCCGCGCCCCTGCTCTAATTACCGTACATCAGAATGCGTTGCAAAAAATGGACACAGTTTTTCGCTTTATTTATACCAGACAGCAGCATTTGGTAGCCATCGACGCATTCGTGCCGTGTCAATGGGTTTTCGGTTCCGGACGTCCTGAAGTTTTGCTTTGAGTGGCGAGATAGTCTTTTGGTCCGAAATATCATGCGCTCACCAACGGGGATCCGCATTCCGTGCCAACTTCACACCGACGGGGGGCGGATACCTGCTCCCCGTGATATCTCGAGAACGGAGCAAAATGGAAACAAGCGGCAAATGGCATGTGATACAGACGGACAAAGTCTACAATTTTTAGACCAAGTAATCTCTTCATTTTAACTGTCTTTCCAATGCCGCCTACCGCATGTCGCTACGTCGCCCAGGAGCCGAGTTAGACGGGGTTGTTCATGCACACCCCCGGCCCGGCGCGGAAGGCGCTGAGCACCGGCCCAGC